CGTAGGATTTGAACTCTAGACCTGCCACTTGGAGAGAGTGACGACTAGACCACTACACTAAGTCGCCACACCTCTTATTAATGTTTTTAATGTTTATAAAAATAAATAAATATATAAACATAAAACTTACTCGATAGGACCAATATGTATTATACGACAAGTTAAGAAAATATTTTCAATCTTTGTCTTTATTTTTTTTACATCGTCTCCATTCCTCTTTGGTAATTGGGTTTTGAGCAGACCCATATGAGAACTAAATTATTTAAAATTAGTATTATTATAAATTATCATTTAATAATATAATAATAAATACTTGCCGCTGTATTGACAATTCCAATAATAGCGTTAGATGGTACTGGCAAAGTAGTTTCAGGCATAGACGAACTTTGTTGCTGGCTTTGTTTAATAGTTGCAAGTGTTTGTTGTAAACCACTTATATTTGTTAATAATTGGAGCAATAAAACAGTGTTATTGTTGTCCATTTTGAGTAAATTTTAAAAAGTTTAGAAGAAATAAGAATAAAAAAACAATAAAATAAAACAAACGTTATTAAATATTAATATCAATTATCTAATCATTTATTATCGCAAAGCTTAAAAGTCTAATTAATATATAAATTAATTAATTAATTAATTAATTAATTAATTAATACTGATAATATATATTTAATAATATAAAAAAAATCACCTGAATGATCAAATGCAAGAACTAATTACAGATTCATAAATTGTTGTATATGAAAACGTAGTAATTGACGTCATTTTGTAGCATGTGGTTTAGTGTTATAGAAGGTTGCATAATATATTGTTTAATTGATAAAATCTTGATATAATAAAATAAAATAATACTGCAGCAGTAATATCATGAATTTCAGTTAGTAAAAGTAAGATGAGAGTTATATTAAATAATTAATATAATTAATTTAGCTGTAGGGTTCCTAGGTTCAGTTCAGTTCAAATTTAGGTTCAATGAACCTGAACTGAACCTGAACCACAAATTTTGCAG